AATGACTTAGGCAGACACAAACAGAATTCACAGTGCAAATGCACCAAAACTAAAGCCCATGAGATGCAAAAACTGTGTTTCTAGCATATACACCTTAATTGTACTGTAATTACTGTATTTACTTGAAGCTTAATGTAACTTGTTTAGGTAATGTAAAACATGAAATGCTCAGCAGTCTCTGGATAGCTATTTTTAGGTTCTCCATATATTCAGTAAAGTTAATTTTGAAGTTCTGCTCAATATTATCTACGAAAGGCATATCGCAAATACTATTTTGGATTTGGAGGCATAAAAGTAATGAATTCAACAGTCACTTTAAAGGAAGCCATTTTACCTTTTAAGCGACAATTAAGAATGTAAATGCCGAGCACCAGCACATGACTCTGACTCACTGAACAGAATTTAGAACAGGTAGAGATGCCTGGAGTTACTAACGTTGAGCACAATTCGGTTCTGAGCCCAGAGTACCACAAACAGGAATATTCCATAGTTCAATGTCTTCAGCAGCTGCAGAAGGCTCAATACTTGCCATTTATGGTGACCTCCCAAGGCACTCACATGAACTCAAACTCATACACTTGTGGTATATGAAGTGCACAAGTATACTCTGGGCTTTCACCTAAAACTAAGGCAATTTTTAAGTCTCATTTTAACAAATCCTAATCTGATATTCACAGGGAATTGAGCAAGTAAAAAACCAACCTGCTGAATCTCTCTGCTTGCTTTTAAAACATCCACACAAAAATATGCTCCAAACCCACATGAAGTAAGGCACCCTAAAAATTGTTTTCAGTTTTCTGTGCTTTAATAGCTGGGGTAGTCATGTATCACTCACTTCTTCCTACACAGCTCCATTAATCTGTGTTAAAAACATGTATTAATTAATCAACATGACTTGATTTCCTTACCTTTATCTGGATGATTCAGAAGCATGATCCGTCTATGAGCTTCTCTAATTTTATTTCTGTTGGCTGTAGGGCTTTAAAAGAGAGAGAAAAACTGACTTAAGGGATGCTCATGAGATCCCCCAGATTTTCAAAAGCTGAGAACAAGTGAGTACTCTGTCTTATCCATAAACTCTTTGGCTAACTTCTTTGTTTTTCCTTCCCTACTCTTCATGTGTAGTCTGTAAATCCTGGAGAGGGTTTCTAAGGTTTTTCCAAAACACTATGCTGAAAAAGACATGCTACAGCAGTCTAACAGGGTGGGAGTCACCCACGTGGTTGAAACAGAACTATGCTATAACGTTTTTATTGGGAAAACTTCCTAAAGGCTGGAGGAAAAAAAAATCACTTGCTCTTGATTTATAAAAACTAAGAACACAAAAAATCCTCAAACAACAAAGTTCTCAGCTGGAAGTTTCCTTCAAAAAGAAATGGTTCTTATTCGGTCAGATTTGTGCCTTTGGTCTGAAGTGTTTTGGCAGGGATTGCCACCGTACTCAGACCTGTAATGCTCTAGAAGTGATACAGGTACAAGCCGTGGGTCTGCAGCACCCACACGCTGCATCCTGAAAAGGCCACTTCCTATTTCCTGACTTGGCAGTGACATTCCCAGGGAATGCTGGGCATAGGATGGCCTTAAGCACTGAGGATGACATCCCTTCCAAACAAGGGCTGCAGCAAGGAAACTCCACTGCCTCCTTTTCACCTTTCACTTCTAATAAATTTCCTTTACCTCACTCCTAGTATTAAAGCTGCTTCTCGTTTAGTCATTTTGGGTTCAAATCCACCCCTGTAATAACCACTGAAGGCCTAAAAAAGAAAACACATTAGTTTAAAACCCACTAATTTTTAAGTTTATAAGTTAAAACAACTCATTATTGCCTTAGAAGCTGCTGAGATTTTTAGTCTGTAAAAATAGCAAAGCTTCTTCTGCGCTTGTAATGAGAAATTTACTTGAAGTATCAATATTTGAGTACTTAAAATTGCCAGAACAAGCTCACTATTAGCCAGTCACCACCAGAATCACTGAGATTGTTATTACTGACAAAATTACGTTTAGCATTAGAGGAAAATACAGCAGTGCTACAGAGAAAATAGTCTGTAGTTATTTCACCAAGTAAACTTTTAAATAAAAAGATGTTACTGATAAACGAAAACTTACAGGTGTTTGTAGGTTCTGAAGTGCTTGTTTAACCTGTGGCTCCATTTGCTTCAGAGCTTTTACTGCATAGCGACCTTAAAGAGATCAGTATCGATCAACACTAAGTACACATCCATGAAGACTTAGCAATTCAGTGCAACTGGTAACTCATGGATTAGGACATGGAATGAACTTTTCTGGGCCATAAAAGAGTAAGATCTTTAACCTTTTGTTTAATTACAGCCTTTATTACAGGTTCTCCCAAAAAAAGTGTCCTGTACCAGCTATTAAACTACCTCAAAAGCAGTCCTGAAGCACGGGTAATTATAACGGGGTGTTCGGTGTCCTCCCATCACTACAAACCTGCGAATCCAGCCGCTGCTACGGCCAGGCCGACCGCCACCATCGTACTGGCCTGCACGGGGAACACAGAGAGCGGTCGTTTGCCAAAGGATAAATCAGAAAAGCCAGCCGGCAGCGCGAACAGCGGGTCGGACGAGTGTGTCCATCAGCGCACACACTGCCGCCAGCCCGACCCGGGGCACGGCGGTCACGACACCGAGCGCGGCGCTCTCGGTGACCGCGGGGACACAGCGAGGGCCGCGGGGTCAGCGGGAACCCCCGAGCCGAGGGGGACGAGGCGAGCCCGGCCCGGCGGCCCCGCGTTCGCCCCGGGGTTCGGCTGCGCGGCCGAGGCCGGAGCCGGCGGCCTCGCCGGGCCCCTCGCACCGCGGCCAGGGGCGAGCGGAGCCGCCGGGCCCGGGAAGGGCCCCGGGAGCCGCCGGCCCGCAGAGCGGCGGCCCAGGGACACACTCACCATGTCCAACCCGACCGCCCGGCCCAGCCCGGAGCCGCAAACACACCGCGGCCGCTGCCGTAAAGCGGCGGGGCGGGAGCGAGCCGGGACACCGCCCCGGGAACGCGAGCACGGGCGGGGCGTGAGGGACGGGGAGGGCAGAGCCCGGCGGGGTGAGGGAGCGGGGAGCGGGGCAGCGAGGGCAGGCTGTGCCCTGGGGCTGCCTCTGCTCAGGGGCTCTGACAGAGCGCAGTGTTACGGCGTTGTAAAAGCGATAGTACAGAGCTTAATGTAAATAAGGGGGTTCGCCCCTGATCCAGAGGCTTCTCGCACGCCAGGTTCGCGTTTTTAGGAAAAGTAGTTTTTCAGTCCTTCCTGAAGTGAATGGAGTGGTGGGTCCAGGTCTGGGCTCCTCAGTGCAAGAAGGACAAGGAGCTACTGGAGAGGGTTCAGCAGAGACCACAAAGATGATGAGGGGTCTGGAGCATCTCTGTTACGAGTTGAGACCGTGGGAGCTGGGCCTGTTTGGTCTGGAGAAGGCTGAGAGGGGATCTCAATTAATGCACAAGTGCCAAGAGATGCCAGATTCTTTTCAGTGGTGCCCAGAGACAGGACAAGGAGAATGGCCATAAACTAACAACAAAGTTCCATCTCAACATCAGGAAGAACTTCTTTGCTTTGAGGGTGTCAGAGCACTGCAACAGCTGCCCAGGGAGGTCGTGGAATCTCCTCTCTGGAGACATTCCAAACCCACCTGGGTGCATTCCTGTGTCACCTGCGCCAGGTGACCCTGCCTTGGCAGGGGGTTGGATGGGATGATCTCCAGGTGTCTGTGCCAACCTTGACACTTCTGTCATTCTTGCATTTGTTTTGTCTTTTATCCCCGTGTGTGACTGCCCCATTTTCCTGTGTGCTGGGCTCTGGCCTCCTCCTTTCCCTGTGCTAATGGAGCGTCCCTGCTGTGCTGTGAGCGCAGCGCTGACCGCTCAGGGTCTACAGGCACGCCAGGCACCACCTCCACAGGGACAGCCTCAGGGATTTGATTGCTGAAGATTGCTAGGGAATGAGGGAGAATTACAGGCATGGCACTTGTGTTTGAATATTAATAATAACACAGTGTCACCTGTTAATAACATGGTGTCACACACAGCACAACAATCAGGTGTCTGTCTGTCTGTCTGTCTGTAGCTCCGGTTTGAAGGCGCAGCTTTGGAACCTGAGTAACGTGGCAGGGAGACCACGCCAGCCTTTAGCTTCAGTTGGTCACAGCTCAAGGCTCAGAGTTCTGCTGTCTGACTGACACTGAGTGAAAGCTTCATTGTCATCCTCTGTGCTTGTAGAACACGTCAGTGACCTCATGGACTCCCGAGGACCCAGTGACCAAAGCCAGCTGGCTTTTGGCTGCTTGAGGCCCAGGACTCACAAGCCCTCACATAAGCAGTTTGGTGTCAGAGTTGACTATTGGCTAAGAAACTTGTAATTCTGCTGTCTCTTGCACTGGAAAACAACATTTTCTTTTCTTGCTGAGTATTTTCTGTGTGTACTGGGTTCACTTTGAATGTGTTGTAATTTCAGGTTTGATCTTGAATTGTTTTTCTTGCTAAAATTTCAAGTGCCTGCTTTAATATCTTCTAAGGTAATGTTTGGAGATGTCTCCTGTCTCTTTCCTTCCCTGTCATTTTAGTAACACTACAAGAAAATAACCTGCTGACTTTTAAAAGAGATGGAAAAAAGGTTTTGGTTAAGGCACTTGTACTGTTGTGAAAGTGTTTCATGAGGTGGAAATAAAAGGAAACTTTTATATTTGATAAAGCAATTGAATCCATTCATTGCAGAGCATAAGGCTCCTGACAGCCTGTAAGACCTGCTCAAATACAGAGTCAGCAAGTGGAAAAAACCCCAGATGTTTGTTTTATAGGGGGAAAAAGTGTTTAAAGGTGTATGGGTCTGGTAACTAACTAGATTCTCTTCATATGTAGAAGACTCTTTGGTTTTAAGATGGTTTCCTCTTTGTCCTTTTTCTTTCAAAAAAGGCTGATAAAAAGAATTATAAAGAAGTTAATGACTTTACCAGGACATGACTAGAATTTATTTTTTCATGTCATCTAAACAAGAAGTCCTTGTCTCTTACTTATGTGAGGTTTTATTCTTCCATCTTGACAGAGCCTTTGGCTAGATCCATATCTTCAGTGGCTTTCAGGAAAAAGCTGTCTGAAAGGGAATTTTATTTTTTTTATTATTTTATAATATATATAAATAATTTTATATTTATTTTATTTCCTTCCTCACTTTCCCCAGTCCCTGTTTAGAAGAACTGGTAGCTCTACTGGCAAAGGGACTTTTGAAAATTAGAGGTTTTTTCTGTTGTAAGAATTTCTCATTTTTAGAGAAAAAGGACTTAGGTAATGAGATGGGCAAACTGGGTTGGGAACAGGTAAATAATGGACCTAATTCTTCTCCTGTGAAAGCCCTTTAAAGAAAAGCCAGGCAGATATTGGGAAGCCTCTACTTGCTTAAGAGAGATTTCATCTTTATTGAGGAGAAAGGAAAATAAGTGGGAAGGCCTGGCAGGAGCGGAGGTGGGATGGAAGAATTTGCATTATCGGTACATGTTAGATAACAGCAAAACGGACAAGGGTGAGCCTAGGGGTGGAATAATTTGATTTTTACTATTAGGTAAAACTAGTAAGCATTTCTAGATTAAATTTCATAATTCCTTTAAAATACACTGTATCTGTTTTTTACGCCATCAGGCAACTCGAACTTTGTTTCTTCCCACAGTTTGTTACGCTTTCCTTTTAGATGTGTCCCAGCTTGGGCATCACTGAGAGTAAAATCAAAGTTCTGTTTGATTTGCCTAATGAGTTCATTTTATAACATCTTATTCCTCTGCATCTTCTATAGCTCAGCCTTGTGCTGGTGGAGGGAAGGTCATTCACCGGGGAAAATTAATAAGCTCTAATGGGCTCAAGTGAAACAGGTGCACTACAGTTTTTATCCTTTCTGCAAAAGGTCTGTATTTGAAATCAGGAGGAAGGCAAAATTATTGAGTGTTTAAGAAATATAATCTCAGTTGGAGTACAAAACCTTTTATTTTGCCTACTGTGTTCCTAAACTGTTCCCTTTCTAAAAGCCAGAGAAACCCTGAAGATTTTCTAGTTTCTTTTGGCAAGTGTTTTATCCTACTGCTATCTTCAGGTTTCCACTCTGGGGTTAAAATGCTGCATGATAGATGATTAAATTTCTTTTGGAAGCTTTATCTCCCTGGATGATCCAAAGCAGCTGATCTGTAGAACATAAGTAAACTTTTCTACTTAACAGACCCTTTCTGCAGAAATCTGGCTGTACTTTCTCTTAACTGTCTCTTCCACAAACTGAACAGAAGGTGAAATAGATATTTGTGCTTTCAGAAGGCTTGTGGTGTAGCTGTTAAATGCCTATAAGGCTGTTAAACATTGATTTAAATAAAAATCACAGTTCTGTGTTGTCACATGCACAGCCAAGCAGACCTTACCCTGCTTGTTCTTGGCTATGCAGTGACTGGACTACCAAGCTGTCAAAGGTTTGCTGGCTTTCTACTTGGGGCACCGAGGTATGGAATTTTTAAACACATTATTTATTAATGTTTTAAGATACACATAGTAAAAATTAAACATAGGTAGAATATCTGGGGGATTCCTGCACACTTTATTCCTGCTTTTTGCCCATACTCCACTTTCTTATGTCAGCCTGCCAGTTATAATTTTCACACCTCTTTTTCTTTTCATTTGTACCTTCTCATATTCTCTTTATTTTGTGTATCCAACATCTGAACCATAATACAATGCCACCCTCTCTTACCTGTGGCTGAATGACCTTGGTATAGGGAGCATCACTCTGTCATCAAACTGATAATCATAATTATTAGAGCATAGTGTGGATGACACTAATTATAAACTGAGATTCTCTCACTTGGTAAGAATGGGTGTGGATTTTTTAATTCAACAAAGCAAGATTTCACTGTAATTTGACAACAGGTGTGAAGTGTGTATGTCTGGCAGGTAGCATACCTGTGTTCATGGTAATCATAAGAAAATCCATCTGACTTACAGTGGGCACTGTTTGATGGCTTAGTTATAAAACAGGTGAGATTGTTGGAACGTGATGGAGGGGCAAGGTTTGTCATTGTTAGTAAATCAGTCACAAAATCCCCTGAAGCTGAGCTAAGGCATACAGAATCTAGATGTGAATATGCTCTCTCAAGGATTTCTAAAATCAGGTTTAATACTTACCATCTTTAACTGCATTGGCCTGGCCTATGCTTCTTATTTAAAGAAAAAGCAATGAGATATTTCTGATGTGTTTACCAAAGCTGTTGTTGTTATTTCTGGTTTTATATTGATTGTTATTACTCAAGTCTTTATTTTTGAAATTGTATTCTGCCTGGGCTGGTGCTGAAACTTCCATGTCTGTGCTGTGAAATTCTATTTTAGGAAAACAAGCTCGTGGTAGTTGTAGCAAAGAATTCAGAGAGAGTAAAACCTTTATTTGCACAGACAATGAATTGTAGTGAGCAACAGTTCTAAAAACAAAGGTCCTGATTTATAGGCTTCCCTCACGCTGAGATTATCCCAGGTTCAAGGTCTGACACAGCTAAGTTCTGGTCTCTTTGTAAAATGTAAATTCAGATTTCCAACAGAATCTGCTCCTCTCCTGCATGAAGATGACAATGGCAGCAAAGAAAATGTGGGCAGAGCAGAGAGCAGATTGTGGGGGAAGAGCAAGAAGCAGGGAGCTACAAGCCTAGGAGAAACGTTATTGATGTTCTTCAGCTGTGAGCTCTTGGGAGATTTCTGCAGACATTAAATGGTTTTCTGATGAGAGAATGGAGGGTTTTGAAGCTTTGTTGGTGATGGTAAGGTTACAAGTTGAAACTGAAAGGCACAGTTGATGATGGAAGCTGTAATGGGCAGCGTTGGGGTTACATTTTGCTCTTGGTTAGATGTTCCACTGCATTAAAAGAATCACTGGAGATGATTCTTTTCGATTCGAGAGGAGCTGACTGACTTTGGGAGTGAAGACTCAAGACCATAGGCAGAGCAAGAAAGAAATTTAAAAAAAACCAAACAAACAGCAAAGACCAGGGAGAGGTTTGCTCACGAGAGGACATAGCTGAGGGTGTTGGAGGGCATACAGTCAGGCCTGTGGATGGTAAGAAGGAAAACTTCCTAGAGACTGTGCAGAGACTGTTTCAACCTTCAGGGTGGGTCGTCACACCAATTGCAGGAGAAACAGCACAAAATCAGAAAATTTGCTCTGCCAATCTCCTGCATTTTTGGCAAACACACCACAGCATTTCTCATTGTACTAACATTGAGACAGTTCTCTTCTTTCACTTAGGACTGTTTCTAATTTGTATAAATCTTTGATTATTTACCAGGTGTGTGGCTTTTGTCATGGTCCCCGTGGAAAGCTCTAGGAACTCACTTGTGGGACAGACAAGGCCTTGTTTCTTGGTTCCAGTTAATATTTCTGAAGCCTCATCTGAAATGTCAGAGAATGCATTTCCTTCACCACTAATTTCATAAGCCTCACTTTGGGGCATCTCTCTGTCCTTTGCCCAGGCTGATTCATCTCTGTCATAAACCGGATTTGAATTTTCCTGCCACGATGGAAAAGGTGTGACTGTGTAGCACAGCTCAGTGTAACACCTCATGACAGAATACACTGTGAAAGCTTGGGGTGGGTTTTTTATTTTTCCTTTAAATTTGTGCTTAAGAGACTGCCAATGAGGGACAGTTAAGGTTAACAAATAGGTATTCATTTTGTTCTTGGAATCAAAGGAGGCAAGGAAATGCCTTTCCTTTTGAGAAGAGGACTTTTCAGCATTGTTGCTGGCAAAGTTTTGGCTCAAATATCCCTTTTGCATATGAGTTTGCTGTCCCCAAGAAACTGGGCACAGTGAGGAGTGTACAAGAGCCTACATAACCTGATATTAATAAGAAGTCTGTCAAATGACTACAAGACTGGAACTGTGCATAACAAGGAGTCTGGAAAACTGCAGATTCATGCTGGAATGATATTCAGCCGGTATGGGGCACTCACTCAAACCCCTCTAGTTTCAGTGTCTTTTACCAGGGACCTGTTTGTGAAATAAAAAAGTCACAAAAAATTTTAGGGTGCATCTAGGCTTGCCTTCTAATGGTATGTGAAATGTTCCTTCAGGTCCTGACTGTGACATTCCTTTTGGGAATACAACAGTTTCCATCTGAAGCATGGAAAGTTTGCACCTCTAAACCAGTATTTGCTTCCCTCACACTGTGAAAGGCAAGAACACTGTAAGTCCTAGGTGTGGTATAGCATAGATTATAGGAATATTATGGAGTGAGTTTACAAGTTCTGGTTTTCCTTCTCTTTAGGAAAAGTGGGTGGAGGAAGAGGGTATGGGTAACAGTGATGTTAAGGCATTTCCAACAGTTAGGGGCCTCCAGTTTTCCAAATCTATCCATTCTGTACACAGCTTTTGTTTTGCACACAACACTTAGTTTGGTTTGCTATTAATGTTTCTGTCTTTGATACTAAATACACATTGTGAAATGTACAGAATGTGAACTGTTGTTGCCTTCACAGGAAGAAAACCCAACAAAAAACTTCCTTGACTTGCTCATTGGAATTCATTGAACAATTTGATGGATTTTCCTGCTAATTATGCAATTCATCTGCTAGGAGATGTGTTCTTGTTCAGTCTGTGTTGTTAAATTCATGCAACACATGCCTTAAATCTCCATATCCATCAATGTACTTGTATAGAAAGTGCATTGAAAAGTGTGAACAAGCTAAACATACTGAGAATTAAATTTACAGTGTCATTGCTTTCAGTCTAAGCTTAAATATATAATACTGATTTATCTTTCAGTCCTCATTCTGCTTCTTAATTCAGAGATGTTTTCATTGTATATATGAGTTTCATATTTATAGTAAATTTACTTTCGTGTGCACAAACCCCTTCCATTATACAGAACCATCAAAAAAATATAAAATGTAAGATTCCTTCGTATGAAAAAGAGT